TCAGGGAGAAGATGACTATGTGAATGTAGTGATGTACCTACAAGTGAAAGAATGCCAAAGATTGCGGGCAAACACCAGAAGCCAGAAGAAACAAGGAAGCATTCTTCCCTTGGGACGTCAGAATGAGCATGGCACTGCTGGCCTCCTGATGGTGGGCTTCTACCCTCCAGAACTGTGAGACAATACATTTCTGTTGTTTTAAGCTACACAGTGTTGGTGGTACTTTGTTACAGCCGCCATAGGAAACTAATACAGTGGTGTTTTGTTGTTTGGGACATTCATGTTCTGCACACTTTTTGTTAAATGTATTCCTAAGTATTTTGTGTGTTTGGATATTCTTGTAAATGACAGTGGTTTTGAGAATAATTTTAGTTGTTCATTGTTATCCTCTAGAATTACAGTTCCTTTTTGTATGTTGACTATGTATCCTGGAATCTTGCTAAATTCACTGGTTAGTCTTAGTAAGTTTTTTTATTATATAGCTTCCTTTAGGTTGTTAATTTACATAATCATGTTATGTCTTGCTTTCTAATCTGTATGCCTTTCATTTATTTCCCTTGCTGTATTTTATTGTCATGCAAGTTCAGTGTTGAATAGAAGGGGTGGGAGTGAACATCGTTGACTTATTCTTTCTACCAAGGGGAATGTATTCTATAATTCATACTTAAGTTATGTTAGCTGTAGGTTTTCTGTAGATGCTTATTATCAGTTTGAGGAAGTCTTCTTACTAGTTTGCTGAGACAGTTTATCATGAATGTGAGTTAAACTTTCTCAAATGATTTTTTACATCTGTTGAAATTATTTTATACTTGCATATATAAATAAATAACTTCAATAAGCATTGAAGTAAAACTAGAGAGAAAATTCAACAAATTTACCACTATTGTAGGAGACCCCAATATAATTTTCTGTTGATCATTTATTGATCAAGCAAACAAAAATTTAGGGAAGATACAAAGTAACCAAATAACACAATTAATAAATTTAATCTCAGAGCCAAATAAAGAATTCTGAACATAACAGTTAGTGAATTCATATTTCTCTTATATCCATAAAACATAAGAATTATTAATGTACTATTTAATAATTTCATTTTTTGACAAATTTAAAAACATTGATGTGATGTAGGCTGTTTTCTTCAACTAGTGTTACTGTGTCAATTTTTAAAAAAGAGATAAATTATACCATACATTTGACAAATTAAAAAAATAGACATATATTCTCATAAACATATTTTCAAGATCTATTATCTCTGTAATTGTCAGGGATTATTCAGTCAATAGTAGCTTAGATTTAATGAAGTATGGTAAATATCTTATAGACCCAAGAAGAAAATACCAAGAACTGAACTATAATGAATATGCTACCTACAAATATTTGTGTATTGCGAAGAAGTCCTCAAAGAGGGGATGCTTATGTTAATAAAATATTTAAAGGCTTAAAATTACAATGTATTCATCCAGTTTGAGTTTAGGGAAAGAATAGTGAAATAAAAGTAGAAGGAAAGAAATCCTAAAAACAAGAACAAAATTAATAAAATAAGAAACAAATTTCTAATTGATAGGATTATTGAGCCCAAAAGTCAGTCCTTTAGATGAATAACAAAATAAACCTGTAGTGAAATTTATTGATAGGATAAAAAGAAAGTATAGTTAGTATTCAAATGGAGACATAATCGGTATGTCAGAAAATAGATTATAAATTAAAATTTACAACACTGTAGCAAACAATGTTTTGAAAACTTAAAGTGAACAAATTCCTATAAAAATATAATTTACTAAACCTTGAATCAATAACTCATTCTACAGCTACTGAAAAGGGAATTAGTAATGTAAAATATTTCCACAAGGGAAACACCAGACTATGATAATTTCATAGATGAGTTCTAAAACTGAAAATGTCAATGAACAGATTTTTTTTTGTAACCTTACACAAATTCTTAACATGTCAAAATCAATTGTAAGTAAAACTGCAAAACTCCTTAATGAAATACCACAGAAATTATGAGACCTTTCTCAATCTGATAAAATGTAAGTTCAGCAGATATTTTTAATAGGGAAAGATTAGAAAATTTCTATTCAAAATCATAATTTAAAAACAAATGTAAAATTTTTTGACTCCTTTCCAGCATTGTGCTTATCAGCATTGAAAGACAAGAGAAAGAGAAAAAAGGCGTTAGGATTGGGAAGAAAGATTGTCTACATAGGCAAATACAAATTAAACCATAGTAAAATTATTAGAAGTAAAAGGAAAAGAAGAACTTTAATAAGGTGGTTTGTTAACATTATTTTACAATAAGACTGCATTTCTTTTTATGAGCAACTAGGTTTAAGAAACGTAATTTTAACAATATTTCTAATAACAATAGAAATGATAAGATACAAATGATAAATCTAACAAATGTAGAAAATTTGAGTGGCCAAAGTTAAAAATTTCATAGAAAAACCTTAAAGAAAACTTAAATGGAGAGAATGCCATGTTCATGGCTAATAAAACGATGTGACAGTTCTCCCCAAATTGATGTATTGATTTAGTGCATTTCAAACCAAATCCCAACAGGATGTTTTTGTACAGTTTTATAACCTGAATCTAAAATTTAAAAGGCAAAGCAAGGAAGAAAGATCTAAGATATGAATAATTAGGTGAAAGATTTGCTTTTCAGTATATAACATTATAATAAACAAAGACTGATTTATTGGTTTACAGATAGGCAGCCTGTACAAGGGGAAAAAAAGGACACCAAGCAAATCCCAGCAGACTGGATATATTTATTTATGACAGAGGTGACATTGCAGATCATTGGGGAAAGGTAGAATGATTAAATAAACAATGCTGAGATGTGTTATCCTTTTGGAAAAAGGAAGTTATATCCATATCTCATCCCGTACACAAACTCGATTTACAATGCACAAGGGTGTAAACGCACAAAGGAAAATTTTTAAACTTTCAGAAAAAAATATAAGAGTATATCTTTGTGCTTGTAAACTCAAGAAATTTCTTAAACAAGATGCTGAATACACTAATTTTAAAAGAGAAGATTGATACATTCAGTGACATTAAACTTAAGTAGTTGAATTCATCAGAATTCCGCCTAGAGACACATATCCGCCTAGAGAGAACATAACTGCAAGGTATTTACTATCTGTAGGATTCATATCAGAATAGGTGGAGACTTCCATCAGGAAAGTAATCAAGATATGGAAGGAAGTAACATTTACAAAGCACATATGTACCTTATCCACCCCCGCACAAGATCACTCACAAAGGCTGATAAAATTAATTTCATCTTTTGCTGGTGTCGTTCTTGTCTTGCATCAGAGGCACATCTGATCCTTGAGCAATACAAAAAGCACGTGGTCTTTATGCTCTGTAGTGTATGTGGCCCATCAAACTAATCATCGCTCTGTCTTTGAGCATTTGCAAGGTGAAACATGACTACAAGCCGAATAGCAGTTCTTAAATCTCTCATCAGTAGCCTCATCTGTGTTATCCCTCCTTTCTCCCAAGGTCATTTAGAATGTATGTCCTAATTTTATAAAATTTTTGCAACAGTTCTGTTGGGATGTTGTCAGATAATTGTAGTTTCCATACTAGTTGGGACTATAAGAGCCTCAAATTGGGTCTAAAGCTTTATGACATATGAATTTGTAAGGAAAACAATAGTGAGTTCATTCAGTGGAACCATATGATCAAAATAGATAGGTGTCTTCTACCTAACCATGAAAAGGGGAAAAACAAGAACTGCAGTTCCTGGCAAAAAAAAAAAAAGACTCTCTCTCAAGAGGGCAAGGATTAAAACAGATAAAGGAAAAGAGAATGTATAGTGTATTTCTAACAGGAAGTTGCAACAATGGAGGGAATTTCTGGAACGTTTTGATTATTGCTATTTTACACACCTTACACAACATGGGCTTTCAGTGTTTTATAAACTGTATAGGCAAGCATTTATTTTCTCACAGAGTTTAGTCTGTTTAATGAATTATATGTAGGATAAGTAAGCAGATTTAAAAAAAGTCCTCTTTTGAAAGAGCAACACTGTCTTCATTTATTGTTAAATATTCTCTGATACTAAGGAAGAGAAAAATGCATTAATCATTCTTTTGTGTCAGGTGTGCCTATTCCTGAGGCACATGTGGGAGGAACCATATATTAAAAACCAAACTGCAACATGTTTATGTATGTACGTGATATATTTCATAATTAAATGTGTACACTTAATCTGCTTTAGCCATCAAAGCTCTATTTAATTCAATTTAATGCTGTTTTTGCCATAGCATGATTAACATTTTAAAGTTTTGTTTTAGATTTGTTTTGTAAACAAAACACACAGCTCTTGAATTATAATAATAATTACTGCTCTGTCTTAGACTATTTCTTAGAAAACATAGCAGTTCATAATGGAGATGTGTTAGTCAGTTTTGTGGAGGATTTATTTCTCATTTTTTTCTCAGAGCAACAGAGAAACCACTAAAGTAATAGTAAAAGAAGAATGTTTAAGATGTCAAATTATGCTTCCTCTCCATGAGTGTGGAAAATAAGGAATTGGGTATATTAAATTTATTGGTCACGCATATTAGAAAAAGACACATGAATGCCTTTGAATATAATGTTTGTATTTTGAAATTTACCTAGATTTAAGTGCCTTTATCAAAAAGCATCTAACATTGACCTGACTTAGCTATTTTTGATGCAGCTTTTTGTCCAATAGATTTTATCAATCAGCATCAAATCACTTACATATATTATTTAATATTATTTCAAGCTTTAAGCTATTTAGGAACTTTGTCTTATACATTTCAAGAGTAGTATTCTCACATAATGAAATATATGTGGAAACAAGTGTTTGTGAATTCATAATGAGTTTTCTTCTCTCTATTTTTTATTCTCAAGTATTCCATTTAAAATCCTTTCATTTGTTTTTCAGGTTATTGAGGGTTTTTTTTTCCCTGTAACTGATCAGCAATTTTAATTATTGCTATTGTTTATTGTTTGCATCATAGGGTCAAAGAGAATAAGTGATAGTGAAGTCTCTGACTATGACTGTGATGATGGAATTGGTGTTGTATCAGGTAAGAATTTCTGAATTATTTTATAGTATTAAGAAGGAAGTGAAACTCATCATTAATTACCAATAAATAAGTAGATAGATAGGTAGATGGATAGATAGGTAGATGGATGGATGGATAGATAGGTAGGTAGACAGATAGATAGATAGATAAGTAGGTAGACAGGTAGATAGATAAAGAACTTGCCTCTTTATCCCCCCAAAACAGCCTTTTGGCAGTTTAAATTGAATAATTCTGGTTGCTGGAATACCTGTACCAATTGTTAGATTAAATGTTCTTATTGAAAGATGTCAGATAAGTAACACCAATTTTCTATTTTTAAATTACTAAATAATAAGGATCTCACTATAAATTATATAACTGAAATTTCTTTATACTTCACTAACTGTGTGGGGGAAAAATACAGTCTTTTTGACATCACTGTATATTCAAAGATGTCAAATATTTGAATGAATTTTTTGAAATGTTTTTATTGTTGTTATGTTAAGTATCGGGTTCAGCTACATTTTGAACTTATGATATTATAGTTTAAAATATTGTCTCATTTATGGTTAGAAATTTATTTGATAATTTAATATTTAGGTAAGTAGCTACTTTTTAATAAATTCTGGAAAAATATTTATATATATTATACTCCAAATATTATAGAAATATTTGAATCTCTTCTTCTTGGAGGTTAGCCTAACAAACAACATAAGCATAGCTAATTTTGCCCTGAACAAAATGTCCTATTGAATATAAGACATGCTGCTTTTGGATCACTGACTGATCATTTCTGTTGGACAATTTTTGTTAGAGTATGAGCCCATTTGCATGCTATCAGTGTATTACTTTTTAAAAACTCAGTAACTATCTTTTAGCCTTTATTTTTTGCACTAAGGGTGAATGATGTATTAATTCACTAAGACTGAAAAAATAGTTTTCACGTTTTATGTTTTGTGAATTAAACCTCAATAAAGTCATATTTCTCATGACCTCTTGCTTGGAGATCGTTAGTATATACTGTTTCCTGCTTCTACTCTAGCTCTTTGTTAATTGACTTTTCAGCTTCTTCTCTTTATCAGATTGTCTTCATCCAAATTATTTTCCTTCATGTCATTAAAGCTCTTTATGTTGATGTGACTTGGGGCACATATCAATTCTTCTATTTTCTGTTTCTAAGATGACAAAAAAAAGATCATTTTATTATTTTTCTCTGTTAAAGGAAATGTATCTTTAAAAACTTTTCAGGAATCATTTGTTATTTGGGATAATACCTTCTGAAATAATTTTTGCTATTACAGAATAGTATTTAGAAAACCGACACAATTAAATGTGTTTACCCTGGGTTCATTATTTTTTTACCGTCATAAAACATCATCTTTTCTTGTGTCAACATTATTATAAATTCTTTTTATACATAATGAATCATTTAATAATCCACTGAAGAGAAACGACTGCTGTGTAATATCCTATGTTTTCCTATTTTGAATCCAGTATAATTTTTGAGACATAGTTTTCTCATCATATACTTTAATAATGCATTTAAAAATAACTTGTCAAAAGCTACAATACTATAATCCTGATTCTGATATTTTCAAAGATACGGTGATGACTTCGAGTCCTTGGAACCTCTCAGAGTTTATATATTTACTTAAAGTGGTATTCAGAGTGCTTTCTAATATTGCTCGACTATAGACATTAGAAACTTTTGTGAAGTTAATCATTTTATTTATAATTGTTGAGAACCATTTGAAGCTCTTCTAAGTCACTGAAGAGATGAAAATGTTTTTAGGATAAACTTGAGTCTTTTATTGAAGATTACTAACTGCATAAAAAAGTTTTACTCTACCTAGCATAGTGCCTTGGACATAGTAGCTATCTAAATATTTGAATATTTGTCATTTCTTTCCAGTTTAAGTGTTTATAAAATATTACTTTATCTTAGTATTATGCTTTAGTCATTGTGCTCTACATTTCATATACTCAGAGCCTTTCAACTTTACCAGCATTTTATGTTTTTTAGTAAAGTACAAAATGCAAAAGATCTTATTGTGTAGATAACTATAATCTTACTGTTTCCACCTTTAGATTATCGACACAATGGCCGAGATCTTCAAAGCTCGACATTGTCAGTGCCAGAACAAGTAATGTCATCAAACCATTGTTCACCATCAGGGTCTCCTCACCGAGTAGATGTTATAGGAAGGACTAGGTCATGGTCACCCAGTGTCCCTCCCCCACAAAGGTAAGATTGTATACATATTTTATTTGTAGGATGATGTTACAAGCCTATTTATCATAAAGTATTATCATAAATTTCTACAGATAGTAAGTTTTTGTAGAAAAAATTACATAAGGAAAAACATACTATTTAATAGCCTATGTAATAAGAGTAATATGAAATATGGGCTTCTTTGTAACTTTGGGTGACATTTTATTGTAAATTCATAATTATAAAGAAGATCCAACTTTCAGCTTCATATAAATAAATATTAAGCAGCTCTAGTTAAACCCAACTAATTACACTCATGAATGATATACATATTGATAATTTAAGGAAAAGGAAAAAATAAACAGTTAATAGTGCCTTAAAATTAAGAACAATCATGCAAAGACTATAAGGGAATGCACATGCAGAGGGAAGAATTGCTTGGAAAACCTGCAACTCCAGGTCTTAGCATAGTGGAAAACTGATCAATCCAGTTAAGTACAGAAACACTTAATGGAGTAAGAATCATGCAAATAATGTTTCCTAGCAGGAAATATGTGCATAATTTCACATTTTATATACTTGCAGTGTTTAAAGAAATTTGAAATCTCAGAATAACAGCCTTGTATCACTTACTTTAAATGAGTAATTGAGTTAGTTTCAGACTTTTAGACTTAGAATTTTTAATTGTAGTCTTAATTTTATATATGGTATTGGACTATCTAAGAGAACAAGATTTATTATATTTATAAATTTAACTTTAAAAGGATATTAAGTACTTTAAAAGTGTTTACTTAATTTAGATAACTTAAGTAATTAAAAAGAAAATCTAATGTATTACATTTTTAAACAGAGTTTAAAATGTTTGCAGATGTTGAATTAACTGAGTTTTTTTGTAAATGGGACAAAAATTATTAAAAAGTCTTCTGAAAAGTAATTGCTTAAATGTGGCAGACCTATCAGTAGATTAATAAAATTTGTAATCTGAAATTTAAAGTACAAGAAGGAACAAGATTTTGAATTTGTAGCTTTAATAAATTAAGCCCTTCCTCTTTGGGAAAAAAAAAAAGAATGCTTGACTTTTACCAAGGAGAGAATATTTGAACATGCCAATAGAAAATCAGTATGGGTTTCAGATTCAATTCAACCGCGCTTAATAGAAGGACCATAATAACAGGAGCTCGTGTAAAAGGTTTATTGTATCATGAAAAAGAACTATGTAAGTAGACAATCCAAGTCAAGGATGGTAGTTTACAAAAACAGTCATTGATTAATTGTAAAGACTTCAGTTTAGATTTAAAAAAAACAAATAGCAATCAGTATCCCTAAAGTAAGGTCCTCCAGTATATTGTGTGTAAGCAACATGCTGAATTCATTTTCTCCACACAAATCTGTTCTTCCCTCTGTACTTCGTGTATCATTACCATCACTAACACCTGGGAATCATCCCTTAATAGGCTTAATAATCCTATCTGTATCTCCATTGATATTAGCTTAATTTTATGTCGTACTTCTGTTAATAGCAACAATCTCCTAACTTCATTATCAGCCTCCTGTTGAAATTTATACCATTAGCCAGAGGTGCAATTGGTTAAAACAAAACAAAAAACTTGGACTTGACATTACACTGATTTTTGTCTTTTCCTACTATCTTTATTAATACACTTAATTTCTTAGTGTAGTATATGATTATGGTTTATTAAGATATTTAATGTAATGTGCTTTTTCAGTCGGAATGTGGAACAGGGACTTCGAGGGACACGCTCTACTATGGGACATTATAATACAATCAGCCGAATGGATAGACATCGTGTCATGGACGACCATTATTCTCCAGATAGAGACAGGTAAATATGATGAAATACTGTTAGACCTTATTATCATTGCTGCCTTCAGGAAGAAGGCATTACCATAAAATGTTTTCATCCTGAACTTGGGTATTTCTTATCTCAGTTTCTAAAACAATATGCTTCCTTAACAATGCCTACACTGATTCTTATGACTGCCACATCATTAAGAAAAATTAAAGAAAGAAAAACAACCTTTTCTTTAGTAAGAAAAAAAGTTTAGTTTACTCTTGCAATTTTGGTACTTTGTTAAATCAAACCAATTAGTGAATTTGCACATGAGGTTATGAAGCTAATCATAATGAGAAGAAGATGTTTTATTATTTTTACCTTATCATAACCAATTATTATATAGAAAAATACTTTCATGAGACAATAGACTTAAAGTCTTTTACACTCATCAGGGAAATCATTGTGACTTCTTACATATAAAAATGTTGAGACAAGTCTGGTTTGTTAGGAAACAGACACAAAAACTGATTCATGAAGAGGTTTTTCCTCATGGCTTTCAGTAAACCTTTTAAGCATTTTAAAGAATTAGGCTTGTTGACTGCTGCATTTGGAAGAATGCTCTGAATTTGTTCAATTAAATGTGACATACTTAGAAGTAATATGGTATGTTTCAATACATGCATTAATTACTATTTTTTTAAGTTAAGTAAATTGATTAAACCTCTAATTTTGGTTTGGTTATATATAAAATGAAAAATGCTGTGATATTTCCCCCAAACTATCAAATGGGTTTAAGATAAGGATTAGGAAAAAAAACTTAATGTACTATTCAGAGAATATTGTTATAAAATAACAAGGGAACTCAGAAATCTCTTTGTATGTATCCTAAACTAATTTTAGTAAAAACCTTCGGGGGGGTTTAAATCAACTGCTAGGAAAATTTGTTCTCAGTATTTACAAATTTCATTGTTTTGTCTAAATCTAGAGTTATTTATACTCAATTTGTGCTTATAATTTCATTGTGTTCAAATACACATTTCCAAAAGATAAGACAGGGGATATCTTCAATCGTGTCAAACAAGTATTGGGTTTTGTGTCTGAGATCTAAGAAGAAATAGGAAGTTATTAAATTAACATCTTTATTAGTGTTGAATGAAAGTTAATGTTTTTTTCTTTTAATTTATTTGACTTTTTCATAGTGATCTTTAGGAGTAATTATAGGCATGCTACCTATAGAAATTGATGCTTATGAAGTACAGTAATAGTGAAAGAAAGGTGACTATACTGGTATTATTAGGCGTTGGAAGGAGTCATATTAGGGTGAGTGAATGAGTTTTTTTGTTACCTAATAGAACTTCAATGAGTTTGACAATTTCAGGAAATTATTTATATGGTGATTTATTGACTCCTTGTTCATTGAAGTTTTATAAAGGAAATGATGACGGAGAGAAGTCTGAAATGACTTTAAATCTTTCAGGCTTTTGTCAAATGGACTATATTTTTTCTGAGGACAGTATGGTCTAAATCTTGCAGAGAAGAATATAATAAAATTAACCTCTAAAATTATACTTACACACAAAAATGACCACTACATATCAAACACATTATTTTATCAATATTTTAAAGAAAAAAATTGCTATTAAATCCTTGGTGACTAATCCTTGGTATTAGTTAATATTTGAATTAGTCATAATTGAAATGTTACATTTTTCTCATTTATAACTTTATGAATCTTTTAGTTTAGCAAAAATATTCAAGTAATTCAGAAGTTTTGGGGGAAATTGATCTGTGTGGCTTTATTATTAGAGTGCTATAGATTACCAGATTATAATTATTCTTAGTTGTGAACTGTTTTAGGTCACATTAAACAAAGAGTTTTTAGTTTCTGTTTTATCCGAATATTCTAAAAACTGTACAATAATAGAATGCATGTGAACTCATTGTAATTATTATGTACTGGCTAGAAGGCAAGAATGCTCTAGAATTCTTACAGTGAATTCTCATGAACAGCATTTTATAGAATCCGTCAATAATACTGTTGATTTAAAAGCCTAAAATAATTTCCTTTGAGATCATAAGTGAAATTTAGTTACTTTCGGTAGTGCGTCACTTTTGTCAGTAAAAATTGACCCACTGGATCATAATAGTATTGCATGGAAGGTACACCTTTCCATAGGATCTGAAATTAAATGGCACTGGATTTGAATTTAGTCTTTTTATCACTTGCTAGCTGTGTGTATGTGTATGCTAACCTCTTTGGCACTCAATTTCCTTATCTATAAAACTAGAAAATTTATACCAATTTTATAGGGTTATTGCGTAGATTGGGTGACACAGGACTTCCAGTTGCATGGTATGTACTCAAAAAATGTGCTTTACTCTTAACATTTTAAAAGGATCTTTTGGTTTACAAATAATTTACATTTTAATGTTCTTATCAATTAAGCAGAGAAAAGAGAAATCAGTAATTCAAGTGTTTTTAAGAGGTTTGTAGAGAATGTAGGACGTGAGTTGGACCTCGAAAATGGGCATATTTATTCAGGCGAGGACAGGAGCAAAGATGCAGAGGCAGAATGCATATGTACATCCATGTACCCAGTACAAAGGATATGGGACTTGGGGACATATTGGAAGTTGTGAATAAAGATAATGGCTTTTTACATTGGTTATACTGGAGGAGATGATGCCATTTGACATTAACTAACGGTACCTGGTTAAAGTTAAGTGGCATAAGAACGAAATACAGTATTCATATCCTTTTCTTATAGGTAATGTAAAAAGAATTATATTTAGAAATTTGATTGGATCTTTATTTCTTGGCACATCTCACTTTATAATCATTAGTCAAAATCCTATTCTGTTTTGAAAATAAAGTAGGTTCATTACAAGTAATTGAGAAACTTGGATATAGGGATATTAGTCAAAAATGATTAGTTGTAATGGACATCTTTCATCTTCCTCTCCATCCCCCCTACTTTTTGGTTTTCTCTAATTTCTCTGGTAAATCTTGGTAACTACTACAATTACGAACATAATTTTCCCAGGGCAAACTATATGACTTTAGTATTAGAAATCACTTCAAGAGCTTATTTGTTTACATGAGTTACTTTACTATTTGGATAAGTATAGAGTACTAGGTACTATTTCTGTACATGTCAGAGATATCCTGCAGTCCACATTTTTATGTCTATCCAAGAGGCCAAAATATATTAGATGCATTTAATTACATGGAGTATACTTTTAGCATAATAATAAAAAATATATAATTAACACTGGCAGAAGATACATTATTTCATAAACTTTTTTGTGCATTCAGTTAATGCATTTATATTCTAAAAAGAAAAATGACCTATTATATGGATTTCTGAAGTACCTCACACACTTATGCTATTTCCCTACTCTTTATCAGACAACCAGCTACCAGAAAGTGCCAAACATACCCATAACTATTTATAGTTTTTTTGGTTCTTTCAGTTATCAACTATGAGAGAAACACATCTCTGAAAGTTTGAAAATATAGAGAAAGTAAGTGAAAAGAGAGAATTTACCTTACAAAAATAATATAACTTCTTATTTATCATATTTCAGTAATACATTTTAACATAGTTAAATCATAGTATATTTTAGGATCTATAAAGTAGCAAGACATTAACAATATTAAAGACACTGAGTGGAAAGTTTTGTATTAAGTTGAGATTGTTGGAAACTTAGCTTTCAAAACTACAGGTTACTTAAGAATAAGATATTTTATCTCCTCCTTTTGCAGTCCTTTTTGTATATGTGGTAGTTCCTAAAAGGGGACATTCAGGCTAATTAAATACAATGGAAGGATGATTCATTATAATATGATTTTGTTTTGTCTTCAAAGATTATATTTTTTATTAAGAATCAAAGTGTATCAAGAAATTTGATCAGTAATCTTGTTCAGTTCTTTGAATAGTGATTTTTTATCATAATTTGACAATCTGTAACTTCTTTTTTTGTCTTTTCAAAATTTAATCATTCTTTTAGTTTTCTATTTTATTCTTTTACAATGAAATACTACTCTGCTCAATTTTTTTTTAATTTGTATTAAATGCAGTTTTTATTATAACTTTTATTTCTTTAATGCATTATATTTATTCAAGACAGTATTTATAGCTAAGATTTCAAAGTCCATTAATTTGGGGAGAAAAGTAAGCATGGTTTAATGGAGAAGTGTAAATAAAATGTTTTTAAGTTGTACCAAGTGTGTGTAACAAAGGGCTTTGCATACATCTCTGTATCTTAGGTAGATTTTAGGGGGCTTACCAAAGCAGTATGTTTAATTTTATGTAATATACATAGATGCATTCTTTTATTTTCCACTCAGTCTCAAGGGAGATTATGACTAGATTAGGTCAAAAGGTATAATATGTCTATAGAAAAGTATATAGTCACAGTTCTCCAAAGAAACAAAACTAATAGAATAGATGGATAAATACAGACATACATACATACATACATACATAGTGAGAAATTGGCTCTCATGATTGTGCAGGCTGAAAAGTTCTACTATCTGCTGTCTGCAACCTTGAGACCCATGAAATTGTGGTGTAATTTAGTCTGAGTCCATAGACCTGAGAAGCAGGGGAGCCTATGCTATAAATTTCAGTCAGAGGACCAGAGAGTTATGAGATGCTTAGCTCAAAAGTGAGAAAGGAAAAAAGGCCACAAAAACAGACATAGGGATCTATGGATCAGAATAGAGAGCCCAGAAATAAAATCACACACCTAAGGTCAATTAATGTTAAATGACAAAGGAGGTAAAAATATACAATGGAGAAAAGATAGCCTCTTCAGGAAGTGACTTTGGGAAGGTTGGACAGCCACTTGTAAATCAATGAAGTTAAAACTTTCCCTCACACCATACACAAAAATAAACGCAAAATGGCTTAAAAGACTGAAAACATAAGATAAGACACTATAAACTTCCTAGAAGAAAACATAGGCAAAACATTCTCTGACATAATCTTAGCAGTGTTCTCCTAGAGCAGTCTATAAAGGCAATAGAAATAAAAGCAAGAATAAACAAATGGTACCTAATTAAACTTAGAAGCTTTTGCACAGCAAAGGAAACCATAAACAAAATGAAAGGACAACCTATGGACTGGGAGAAAATATTTGCAAATGATGCAACTGACAAGGGCTTAATTTCCAGAATATATAAACACCTCATACAACTCAATAACAAAAAAGATGAACAACCCAATCAAAAATTGGACAGAAGACCTAAACAAACACTTCTCCAAATGAACACATACAATTGGCCAATAGGCACATGAAAAAAATGCTTATTATTGCTAACCATTAGAGAAAAGTAAATCAAAACTACAGTGAGGTATCACCTCACACCAGTCAGAATGGCCATCATTAAAAAGTCCACAAACAATAAATGCTGGAGAGGGTGTGGAGAAAAGGGAACCCTCCTGCACTGTTGATTGGAGAGTAATTTGGTGCAGCCATTATAGAAAGCAGTATGGAGATTCCTTAAAAAACTAAAAATAGAGTTACCATATGATCCAGCAATCCCATTCCTGGGCATATATCCAGAGGAAACTCTAATTCTAAAAGATACACTCCAGTGTTCACAGCAGCACTATTTATAATAGTCAAGACATGGAAACAACCTAAATATCCATTGACAAATGATGGATAAAAGCGATATGGTATATATACACAATGGAATACTACTCAGCCATAAAAAGAATGAAATAATGCCATTTTCAGCAATGTGGATGGACCTGGAGATTGTTATACTAAGTGAAGTAAGCCAGAAAGAGAAAGAAAAATATCATATGATATCACTTATATGTGGAATCAAAAAAAATGAGAAATGTTATTTACCAAACAGAAACAGACTTACAGACATAGAAAACAAACTTGTGGTTTCCAGAGGGCAACAGGGATGGTGGGTACAGGGATAAATTGGGAGTTTGAGATTGGAAGACACTAACTTCTATATATGAAATAGATAAACAGCAATGTCCTTGTATAGCACACAGAACTATATTCAATACATTGTAATAACCTATAATGAAAAAGAATATGAGAAGGAATACTCAAATGAGAATCTCATCTGGATACACCCTCACAGACACACCCAGAAATACTGGTTAATGTGGGTACCCCTTGGCCAGTTAAACTGACACATAAAATTAACCACCACAAAAAGAGAAACAAAATAAACTGCTGCTCTGTGAAGGTTATTCTTGTTTAATGTTTTCTTTGGCTTATAGGGGCAAAATTAACTGTAAGTTTCCTCAAGGAAAATATTAGAAATTGGATGACAATATATAAGTTCTATGAATATTAAAAATTTTAACATGCTTTGAATCTGATGCATTTTTGTTACACTTAAGTAATTTTTAGAGGAAGTCTGTTCTTTTTAAATACAATAAATCCCAGCCTCACTACTGTTGGGTATTCTTTCTACTCTTTGTAAAGCTAGGAATATCTCTTTTTGATACTATTTTCCTTATTTTCTTTTACTACATTGGTTTGTAATCTTCTGTTTACATTTCTAGAATGTTTCTATGATCACATGAACCACTATTCTCTTTGGAGAGTAGGTTCACCATGAAGACAACATAATTCTGTTTTTACTTTTTATTTCAACCCAAAGTATATTTATTGAGTGGGTCAGCTATTGTGCACAAAGATTTAAAATAGACATTATCTTGGTTTAGCTCAATGGATTATTCAACTGATTATGCCAATTAATTTATACCAACTAATTATAAAATGTAGAAGACGTGAGGTCTAAGCATAATAGTATTGGAACAGATTGGAGAGAAAATTATTTGCTTGGATGTATTGGGAAGAACTTCAAGAAGAATTTGGACTTCAAAGATGAGTAGAAGTTTGAAAGGCAATGAAGTGGAGACAGAGAAGGACAGATGGACTTCTTGGGAAAGTGATAAGCGTGAACAAAGTCTTGGAGTTAGAAAGTATGGGATTTATTTAGAGAATCTTAGGTAGTCTGGTGGACCTATATAAAAAGTTATGGTGTGGGAAAAGGGAAGTAATTGGAGAAGATTGAAAATAGCTTAGAACTTAATTTGTATGCCATTTTAAGGAATATATACTTTTTTACTTTTTTTTTTTGAAATGGGAAGGCACTAAAGGATTTGGAGCAGGATATCTACATGATCTGAAGCGTAATTTGTAAATACACTTCCATAGGTAGGGTGGAGAGTGGATTAGATCAGGAGAGGGCTGGGATCTAAAAGGAGGCCTAATAGAAGGTTATTTCAACGGACATGATAAGCCTGATGTAAGGTATTAGCAGGAGAAAAGAAAAAGACAGGACAAATTTGAGTTATTGGACATTAGACCTGGCAATGTTCATAAATCAACTGAATGTGGAAAATAAGGAAAGTGGAGGAGTTAAATTTTGAGATTTTGAAGCTTGGTTTATTAAGTAAATATTTAAATCCTTAGTTAAAACTGAGATTACAAGAAAAGGAATAGCTGAAGTATTATATTAAGTTACAGTGGGGAATTAAAGAATTGTATTTGAAGCTAGAAAGGCCTTTAGAGATTGTAGGGTCCAAGGTTCTAAAGAGGCACCTGAAGCACTGCTGCTGTACGCAAGGTTGAAGCCAAACGGATACGGTTTAATCTTCTCACTCCCTCTGCAGCACAGAGCCATTCTGATTTCATCAGATTCTTAAATTTTGCTTTTACATAAAATTTTGTTTGAAGAAAACAAGTGGTCTTCTCAATAAAAAAAGTTGGAAAACTACTGCTCCAGCCCCCTTATTTCACAAATGCAGCACCAGATGTCCGAATAGGCAAATGTCTTGCTCAAGTCTTACAATTAACATGTGTTTTTCTGAAATCCCTATATAACCCTTTAGCAGCCATGTGGAGAGCCCAGGAAGCCACTGGAAAGGTGAAACCCAAAGAAAAACCAAGGCTAAACCAAAGTGAGAGTTTACACTATAAAAACAAATAGTATCGTCCAGAAGGAATGTGTTGGAATATAAAGGTTGAGAAACAAATCTTGGGAAACCACTGCCTCTAAGGAATACAAAGTAAGGGAATCAGTAAGTGAAATGGATAAAGAAGCAGTTAGATAGATGGGCCACCAGGACAAAGTGTACATGTTAAAAGCCTGATTTGTGGCTTAAGAAAAGCCCTGAGTTTGAAACTCAGTCTTTCAACTTAACTATGTGGCTGTGCGTAAGCACTCAGCCTGTTTCTCTGTCTTGGGAATACTAGAACCTATCTCAAAGAGTTGTTAGGAGAGAAGTAAAAGAGATAACACAGACAAAGCTTTAGCAGAGTACTTGGCACATAGTTACATGTTAAATATTATTTTTAGTAGCTAGAGAGGATAGTGTTTCAGAAACTGAGAGACAGTGTCAAGAAATAGAGGTTGAAAATCAGTGTCTAAAATTATAGGTAAGTGTAGTATGATGAAGATCAAGAGGAAATTAAATGATTTTTTAGGATTTCACAGGTAAAATTCACAAGATAGCTTCAAGAGGACGGAAGAGGCAGAAGTCAAATTACAGTAAGCTTTGAGCGTGACTGAGAGTATGAAAGTGAATTTTAGAAGAAAGTAAGGAAGAATTGTAGATACGTCTAAGATGTTTTGTAATGAAAGCAAAGTCAGAGGAAAGAAAGGTTAGTGAAGCTTTTATTTTTAGGATTAAGTGCAGTTGTGGAAGGGAAAGCATGAGACAAAATGAATGAAGCAAGGTCATGTGAAAAGTAGGATTACAAGCAGAGGAATTTCTTCCTTTATTGCAGAAGAAAAGGACTAGTGAAGATATAAATATATATGTAGTCTATATTTAGAGGTAGAAGTATGGATATTGAGAGTTCAAGGTTGGTTTCCATCTTTTACTGAAACATAATGATCATCTGCCAAAATAGTGTTTTGACATGAAAGGTTTAAAAAAAATAGAAAAGTTTGAATTAGTGCTATAGAAAGAAGAGAATCAGCTCCTGAGGGGTGAAAAGGTCAATGTGCTACTTTCCAGTAGTCATGAGGCATGAAATGCAGCAGAGCCAGTAAACACGTAATAAACATAGTGAATGGAAAAATGAATAGCATCCAAAACATTTAGAAAATAAAATTAATAATCAAGTAAAGATATTCTGAATCAATTTGTTCCTCACTTAATGGAATTTTATAAGCCCTTTTGGTTATTTTTAATTATTAATGATTGAAGAAGAAATAATTGCCTTATAAAATCTCCTAAGTGTTAGAAATTACTTTTATTGCTTTCTTCTTAAACTTTCTGGTTATTTTATTATTTTTCTCTTCCTACTTTTCCTCTTAAAAAATGAGAAAGCATCTGTACTGTATAATATTTTATAGTTGGTGCTGAAGATGTTTGAGTGATAATTGATAAAATTTTATTTTGAAATATTGTTTAAATCTCAATTTGTTACATTTTGTTGTGTTTTGTTTTGGAGTCCTTAGAATAGTTTAACCTTTAGCACTGCCATGTTACAGTGCACATTGGGAGAAAGGAGCAAGCTTTCCAGTGACAATTTTCATTTGCTTTGCTTACTGTCTGCTTATCTTTTTTGAATCTCACTTTAAAAAATCAAACTCTACCTTCTCATTTCTTTCCTGAGTCTCATTTATATTCTTGTTTCTGCCATGCTTGCAGTCATTTTCTTACTCTACCTCGCTCCAGATATAATCAGACCATTGAACATCATCACAGGGACGGCAGGTATATTTTTCTTACAATTGAGTCTGTCCGTAGAATTGCATGTGCCTGTCTATTGGTGTGATATAATTCACTTCTATTTCTGTTTTTTGTATATACATAGTGGTTATAGATGAAATATATAAATATTATCCTTATAAAATAGTAGGAAATAAAGCATATATAAACATTTCAATGGTGGTAAAATGTCAAAATGTCAAAAATGTCCCTTACTGGGCTGAATCATCTCTTCGATGATTCTAAAAATTTAGTTCATCAGGAATTACATTTGACTCTTATTACCTAGAAAGGTAGAATAATAGTATTATTAAAAATTAATAGCAATTAATAGCTCATCTTCCTCTGCAGAGTTCATAATTAGACATTTAAACAGCATTAGTTGATTGGTATATAATCTTAACAACCAACTTCCCCCAGCTCCCTCCACAATTGAGTCAGTCCTTTAAAGTACTTAGCTTGAGCTGAAGTTTTGTAGGCTAAACTTAGGTTTATGGTTATCTTATCAAAGGCTATGGTCTACTCATTAGTCATAGCAGATGGTCCTGGATCTGTGGAGAATACTGAGTCTGTGGCAAAATCTTTGTTCATTTCTAATCTACCACCATTCTTCTTATATTGAATGGAAATGTCAATTACCTGACATTTAACCTAAAGGGAGATTAATTTTCTATTTAATCCTAGAAGGAAATCTAGCAGGGAAAGAAGGTCTCCAAAGCTTGCAGTTTCTCAGGGCTAAATGGAGCTTTAGGGATTTGAGTCAGTTCAGTGGCATTTTGAGGCCCTGTAGGCAGAGACAAGAACGGCAATGATAATGTGGTTGTGGGCTCAGCTGTATAGATAAGCAATTATTTGTTGTACTCACTCTGACTATTGTTTCAAAGTGGTTTAGGTTATGTTTAGACCACTTTTATCCTATCAGTTAACTAAAAGTTGATAATGATATGCAATATAATGTATATGTGCAATCAAACTGTAATAATTCTACCTAATAACACTGAAAAAGAAAAAAAAACAGTTGATAGTGATAGAGCTTAGAAAAAATAATTGAAAATAATGGGTAAATTCCTAAGGATTGAATTCACTTAGACAAATGTGGAAGGGAACATAAGAAATAACATCAACACTAAATCCTAATAATTCAAGTTTTGTGATGTCTTTCAGTAAACATAATTTAAATTAAGTACCTTCCAGTTTATTGCATGATAGTGGTTATTGCTATATTTTATTTTCTTTTACGTTTCTCAATCTCTTTCCTGTTATTTTGCTTCAGTACTAAGTAGTTCTTTTTTGTTGTTAATGTCTTTTATTTTTACTATTGCTGTATATTACATTCATACTGTTTTTTTGGTTGCAATGATTATACACTTACCTTACAAATATTGAAAAAGTTGTGTAACTATCCTTATAATTAGCCAAGACCTTTTTTAAGGTGGGTGGCATGAATGAGACATTACTGATTATAAGATTATTTTTATGCCGGTATCTTTTCATTTAAATGTAAATTAAAATTATGCACCCCATTAGTTGTTTATATTCTGCATTTTTCTTAGTTATCAATAAGTAGATTTCTGCTTTGTATTGTTTATTCTTTCAGTAAGTCAACACAGATGGAATCAGTTCTTGATCAGTTCTAGGTTGATTATCAATTTCATATACTTACTCAGCTCTTAACCTCAGCCTACCTGGTCTGTTTTGAAAGATACATTTCTGAATTGTCTTTTGTGCCATAATTTAATTTGTGGTCAGGAAACACAATATCATTAATGTTTATATTAAAGCAAAACACAGTTGGGAAAATCAGTTTTAGAAATCAAGTTATCAAATAACTTACTGTAAGATTTACTGTCATTTAAATGATTTAAATTTGTGAGTCTTGCAGAAAAATTGGATATATTTTGTAAGAATGAACCTCTGTAGTTGCTTTTAAAAATACTATGTTTTATCATTATTAATTTGATACATACAAGAGAAAGTATGCACGTTTCAAAGCATGGTAATAAAATAAACATCCATGAATCTTCTACCCAAATTGAGAACCAGAATATATGGTTATGTTTCTTGCATCTACCCATAGTTCCTTTCCTATTGCATTCGTGTGTCTCTTTCACAGAAATAGTAAATGCTATACTGAATTTTCAGTTTAACATTTCCTTCCTTTGTTTTTTAAAAGTGACTTTGATCACTTATTTCACTCTGCTAATTTTCTAAGTTACTTAGTCCCTCTGACAAACATTTCATTCCACTCTGAGATTCTGGCGATTGTTGAAGATGTAAAAGCTCATCTAGTCACCTACCCCTTCTCCTTTATTTATTACCATGACGTTCTGTGCTTCTTGTTTAACCCTTGTATGTGATGCAACTGAGCACAACCATCCATTACCCTCACACATTGATGTCATTGGTTGACCCCTTGATTATGTCATTTTGTTGACTGAAGAGGATTTTAGCACTTGGGTTTAGTCTTCCTCTTTATCACAATTACTGCCATCAACCTGAGTGATGTTAGCATTCACCTGAATGATCTGTTCGGCATCCAGTCACTTCCTTGCCTATCTCAAATTGGAGGTAGAGAACTTTACACCCAATTCTATTTCAGTCACTCCCCTAACCATGCTCTGAATCTTATAATTTGAAATTGTTCTACCTTTGAAAACTTTAAAATTTTTATACGACTTTTAAAGGTTACTTTACATTTACAGTTATTACAAAATACTTTACTCTTGGATAAGAACACATGGTTCTTTCTTATTCTCCCATTGAGTTACTTTTAACGCAGTAGAAGACTCTAGTCTCTTTACCCCTTTACCTTTCCCAGCTATTCTCCACTTTTCTTTACTTACTTACATACCCAGAGGTTGAATCCATTCTCAGAAATATCCTCGGTCCCTTTGCTACATTGTTATTCTTTTACCTATTTGATAAAGACCAAATCTGGATCTGTCTCTTTCTCTTGCTGAATGATTTTTTGATCTGAATGACCCAAATTCTCCCTAACTACCTACTTGAGAAAAAAATGACTGAACACTTAAAGGAAGAGTGACCTTTTTATTGAAGATTGTGAAAAGAATAGAAAGAAATTGGCGCCTTCTGAGTATCCGGTTTCCCAGTCTAGATCTCAAGGTTCCGTTTACTGTCTTGTTCTGGGAATTCCCTTTCTGTGAATAAATATGTGTTAATAGTTCCAAGTGGAGTGTAGTTTGGGTATATGAACTCTGGAATTTTCTGAATGGGGTAAATGCAATAAACTGAACATGGCATCCCCAGTATGTGATGAATCATAACCATTGGTCTCTCTACCCCATGTTTGTAAAATGAAAAATTATGAGTGCTGTCTCTTCCAAACAGATGAGTAGAAGCTTAAATAATGTTTGCTAAACTTCTTTTATATTACTTCAGGAAACAAATATTAATTAACATTAGGAATCAAAACTTTTTTTCTTCTGGCCAGGTTATGCTGACCAGTACAAAATTATCTCTTGATTCATTGTGTATTTTAAAACACAGTCAACATTTAAACAAATATATTTAAAATGAATATCATGTTATTTTTAATTAATATCCCTTTGAGAGCTATCTTTTATTTTAATAAATGTATTTTTTGTATTTTAAAATTTACCTCATATCCTAATTTTTTTCCTGGTGTTTATCTCTACTTAAAGCTATAAAGCTTAATTATTTCTCTACTTAAAGCATATTAAGACATCATTGACATTGATGGTGGACAACATGGCAACTTTTATGTAAAGATGTGATGGAAGAGACAATAACTAGGCTGTATCTTAAAGGAAGATTTAGAATTATTTAGATTTATATGGAGGTAAGGTAGGATGTTGGTAGAAATTTAAAGAAATGTATGAGCAGAGTTACTAAAGTGGTAAAAACCATGTTTTAGCACTGTTAGAGCATTATCCACAAGGTGGGGAATAGCAAGAAATGAATCTGGACTGACAGAGATGGTCCCAATTATGAATAACCTTGTATGCCCTGTTAAGAAACTTAGATCTAAGATTGTAAGTGATAGAGGTAGTTTGAAGAATTTTAGTTTGAGGATGGCTATAATATATTTATTCACTCTAGAATAATTACTCTAGAGACTATGTGGATGGTTAATTTGAGAGAAAAGGATATGAAAAGAGGTACTTATTGAGGTATTTGCCTTGGTCTAGAACAGTAGAAACTAATGGCCCGAACTAAGTAAGGTAGTGGATGGAGAAAGAAGATGAGAGTTAATCAATTAAAATCAATAATACGTAGTAAATAATGGGATTTGAATGTTGAGCGGGAGCAAAGTGTGAAGAAGCACTCCTAGTCTTAGAACCTGGGTGACTGGGTGCATGTGGTGCCTTAACAAAGATGGTGGGGATTGCTAGGAGAGGAAACAGTTTAGGTGAGAGACAAGTTCAGTTTTGGAATTACTGAGATAGCTAAGGAGAAACCTCTAGCAAGGAGTAAAATAAATAATTTCAAAGCTTAAAATTTAGGCTACGAAGAGCAGTTTGGGAACAAATTTGCTACTGGTGGGAAGTAGCCACAAAAATGAAAGTGAAATCAGCCAGAGAGGCAGCCCATGCGGTGAGGGCCAAGGTTTCCCTCTGCCATGGGAAACATTAACATTTAGTGGTAGACAGGACATAGTGAAGGAAGAAATGAGAAAAGTAAGAATAGCGAGGGCTGAAGAATAGTTTTAAGAAGGAAGAAATAATGTCAACAGTAAAAATAATAAATGAAAAATGCCCACTAAAGCTGTCAAGGGAGATGTCATTGGTGACTTCCATTAGGGCGATTTTGGAAGGGTGGTGAGGCTAAAAATGCAGATTGCAGCGGCCTGGGCTGTGACTGGGAGATAAGAAAATAAGTACATCAACGCTGGGTAGGGGTATGTGACGTCAGAGTAGGTTTCTTTCTTTTAGAATAAGAAACACATCATGTGTTTATAGGCTTGGAGGAAAGGATTTTTTAGGAACAAAAGATAAGTTGAAAACAGGGAAAAAAGGATGGCTAGA